TGTGAGTCTGTGTACAATATTATTTTTAAAAATCTACCTTTGTTTATTAATGACAGAAGAAAGGTAGGAGTACTAGCACATTTTATGAACGATCATTTTTCACTTAGAATAATGACTTCTTCTCCAAAGAATATTTATTTCTGGAAAGAATCTGCATGAACTCTGACTTATCAGATAAACACTTTGATGCCTAAGTTTATTTAAAACACTATAAATTGAATTTCAGGGAGAAGATATATGAGCTGAGACTAGTGGAAAACACACAATTATTATTCATTTTGTTACACAATACAATGAATTTCTCTGTTTATCCCTGAAGTTTTATTATTTATCTTCTTCCTGCCCTATTTTTTTTTAAACACAGCAAGTACAATTTGTTCATGTCCTGGTAAATCATTTTCCTCTGAAGGAATCATTTATACATGTTGGACGATTGTTGTTTTTATCACTGCATGTGCACTGATTTCTTTTTAGAAATGCTTTTGTTTTGACCAAGAACAGTTCTGATATTTGAACTACATTAGAGTGAAATCTGCCTGGACATCTGACCCGTATTTCCATCCTCTAGTGAACTTACAAGGGGCACTGCTGTCTGTCAATTCACCCATTTTCCTTCCTCCCTCTCACATTCTCTTCTGAAAAGCATTGTTGAATCAAGTAATGCTTCTTTGCTGTGCAGCGACCCCCTTCAATGTATGTTTCTTTTCCTTGGTGAAAACTTGGACCTGTGGCCATCTCTGTTGTTTCAGAATAGCTGACAGCTCCAGGCTTCTATTAGATGGGCCTAAATTCTACTGCCTGGTGCTGGGTTTGCCAGAAGGGAAGAATACAGTGAAGTTCACGTTGCAAAGCAGTGGGCCTGTGCCTGACACTGTGCACCGGTGAGATTTATGTTCTTTCAAGGAGGAGCGTAGTCTCAACTCGTAGTAGCACAATGCCTGCATACCTGCACAGGGTAAACAAATACAGTAAGATGACGATGGTAATAGTGGCTAACATTTAAAATTATTTAATATGCCTAAGAAAAACCACCAAGCACTTTAAATATGTGCTTGTTAATAATTTGAAATCATTTCTGTTAAGTTAGTAAGGTAATCCCATTTTACAATGATGCGGTGTTTGGAGCGGTTAAATACTGTGTAGTAGCATAAACTCCAAGTCAGGCCTATGGATCTACCTGCCACAGTGAGAGCAGAAGGCAGGCTTTCAACCCACTCCAGCACCCCTTACCCAGCAGCCTGCCCCCAAGAAATACTAAGTCCAATTTAAAAAGTGAGTCTGCTCTGCTAACAGCTTCCAGAGATTTCCTGAGTGCTTTCTCCTCTAAATCAGATTGCCACCTCTGAACCCATCTATGTAGAATTTTTTGGAGCTCCCTCTGCTTTAAAACCTTTGCATTTAACTCTTTAGAAGATAAGCCAAGTCCAGCGTAAATGTGAAATAAAATGTGTTGACAGAGTCTGAGCCGGTATGTGAGCTGTCAGTAGAATGCTACGGACTGCTGGGGTTAGAATCTTGACTCCATCGATGACTAGTTCTGTGATCTTCAACAAGTTCCTTCAGCCCAGTGATTCATTCTCCTTATCTGTAAAGTGTACCTGAACTACAGGATTGTTGTAAGGATGAAATGAGTTAATATATCTAAAGTCCTTAGAAAAGTGCCTGTAACACTGGAAAGCCCAAAGTGTTAGTTAGTGCAGGCCTTAATAGGAAGCCCATAACTGGAGGAATTTTGCTACTAGGATAAATGGGGAGAAGGTAGTGCTGATAACTACGCTTGGACAGGGGAGGTTTAATGTAGGATTTGGGAAATTTCATGATGAATGATAGGATAGAGAATTTTTGTACAATGAGATGTATGGGAAGAGTCAGTGTAGGAATGAAGTATTGCTTAGAGAAAGTTTGGAATCTTCAGAAGCATAACTGTGTCTTAAGTTATAATCAAATGGATTATTCAGCTCATAGCCAATTTAGATACTATACATTTAATGTATAAATATTCTGAGGCCAAGTCTAGCCTGCCTGCCTGCCTGCCTGCCTGCCTGCCTGCCTGCCTTCCTTCCTTCCTTCCTTCCTTCCTTCCTTCCTTCCTTC